AACTTGATCCCCATTCATAATTGCACAATCATGTGTCCAAATCTACATAGCGGCATACATATATTTGGTGTGATAACAGGTTATTGTGAGAGAAACTTTCCAGGAGGCTTCAGGGTGAGCGTTGTGAGATGTCACTAGGACTGCTTTCCTGAGCCATGGAGCAAATCTCCCTGATATACCAGGTCATCATCACAGTCCCTTCTGTCCTGAGTCTCAGCAAACTGTTAAGCACATTCCTTTTACTAACAGATCCCGGGAATCTACTTAAATGCTTCCTAGCAGGTTACTGCAGTACTCAGCATGCTTCCTTCTGATAAGCTGTTGTAGGTGTTTTTGTAGAATTTACATTGCTCTGTATCACTAGTTACTCAGTGTAACCAGCACAGTGCTTTACTCAATTTATTCAAATTGGCAATCCAAATTATCTTGATAAGCAGAGATTTTGTAGTTTAGAGAATTATATAGGCTAAGCAGAGGAAAAAAAAAAAAACAGAATGTAATTTTCTTTTGTTTCTAAGACTACAAAAATCATAATCACCAACCTCTTGGGAATCCCAAGGCAGAATTTTAGTCCCAGATCCCCCAACGTCCTCACTACATATATGGAAGTTGCTTTACTCCTTTCTACCTTAGTTATTTGACCTCTTATTAGAGGATAAAACACAAAATTCTAAATTCCTAGTAATATGGTCAATACATAATTTTATTTTTTATGTGGATTAGAGTCTTAAAGTCTGGAAAGCATTCAAATACCACATGTTCTCACTCATAAGTGGGTGTTGAACAATGAGAACACATGGACACAGGGTGAGAAACATCACACACTGGGGCCTGTTGGAGGGGGCTAGGGGAGGGAAAGCAGGGGGTGGGAGGATAGCATTAGGAGAAATATCTAATGTAGATGACGGGGTGATAGATGCAGCAAATCATCATGGCACATGTATACCTATGTTGGGAGAAGGTCTTGACATGTGTGTGATGGAATATATATTGTTTGTTGAGAGCAATGGCAAGGAACACTGAGCCATCCCCAGGAAAAAAACCTGCTAGAATAAGTAAGCAGTATGTACCGGTCATGTACTAGTTAAACCAGTTCCCAACACAACATATTTGACCTTGTCCCCCTTGCTGATTCCAAAAAGAGTGCTTTCTAGATTTTTTCTTTTTTCTTTTTTTTTTGAGATGGAGTCTTGCTCTGTCATCAGGCTGGAGTGCATTGGCACGATCTCGGCTCACCGAAGCCTCCGCCCCACCGGGTTCAAGCGATTCTCCTGGCTTAGCCTCCCGAGTAGCTGGGACTACAGTCATGTGCCACCACACCCGGCTAATTTTTATATTTTTAATAGAGACGGGGTTTCACCATGTTGGCCAGGTTGGTCTCAATCTCTTGACCTCGTGATCCGCCCGTCTTGGCCTCCCAAAGTGCTGGGATTACAGGCATGAGCCACCATGCCCGGCCTAGATTATTTCTATCTTAGTAGTGAACAGGCACTATCTGCCTGTTTAGAGTATCTTTATTCTATGAAGAAACATTGAGCACCCACTTATTAAAAATAATCACTTGTTCACAAAGAATAAATACGTGGGTCAGAGTCTGCTCTGGGCTGTCAGCTGGGAAATGCTGTCAGACCCCTGACAGTCCCACTTTGACCCCACTTTTGCACTCTATCTTTGTTTCTGTTTCTTAATTCTTTCAGCACCGCCTGGGTTGGGGTCCCTACGACTGAGCAGGTCTCGGCATACCTATGTAACAAACTTGCACATTCTGCACGTGTACCCAGAACTTAAAGTATAATAGTAAGAAGAAGAAAAAGAAGAAGAAGAACAAAAAAGACAGATTATCACTGATCATTATAGCAAGGACAAATTTAGAAGACTTATTCAACTTACCTCGGTGGGGAGGGGTCAAGATGGCAGACTAGAAACAGCTGTGGTCTGCGGCTGCCAGCAAGAAGAATGAGGAAGGTGGGTGATTTCTGCATTTCCAGCTGAGGTGCCCAATTCATCTCCCTGGGACTGACTAGATGGTTGGCATGATCCACAGAGAGCGAGAAGCAGCAGGTTTTTGCTTCACCCTGGAGCTGCACAAGCAGGGGGACCTCCCTCCTCAGCCAAGGGAAGTGGGAGGGACAGTTCTACCCACCAAGGGTACTAAGCTTTTCCCACGGATTTTTGTAACCCTCAGATCAGGAGATTCCCCTCGTGAGCCTACACCACCAGGGCCCTGGGTCTCAAACACAAAACTGGGCAGAACAACGGCAGGCGCACCTGTCCGAGGCCGTTTGGGCAGGCGCTGAGCTGCAGTTTTTACTTACTCCAGCAGCACCTGGAACCCCGGGGAGGCAAGAGAAACGTCCATTCCTGTGGAAAGGGACCTGTAGCCGGGGAGCCAAGCGGTGTCGCTCAGAGGGTCCCACTCTCACGGAGCCCTGCAAGCTAAGACCCACTGGCTTGAAATCCCAGCTGCCAGCACAGGAGTCTGGAGTCCGCCTAAGACAACTGAGTTCCCAGGGGGAGGGGCAACCGCCATTAGCGAGGCTTTAGTTGGAGGTTTTTCCTTGACAGTGCTAAGGAGACTAGGAGGTTTGGACTGGGTGAAATTCCCCACAGCGCAGCAAAATGGCTGTTGCAGATCATGGCCAGACTGCCAGAAATATAGTTTATTGATTTCTTGGTGATTTAAAATCTTTAATATTCATAAATCTATATTTCTCCAAATTTTAATGAACGGTCATAGAAATTTGCATTTAAGTGGATTAAAACATAATTTATAATACAGAATATAACCTAATTATATAATTAACCTAGCATAATTTCGTATTAAAGAGTTGGAATATTTTGAAGCTTTTCTGAATTTTCTACTTTGTATTTTAAAAACTAACATTTTAGTGGTTTATGTGCATTTAAAATTTATTTTTATTTTTGACCTCTCCTTGCCATATGTGCATATTTTAAATCTGTTTGAAAGCACTGATAGAAAACTCATGCGTTTAAAATTAAGATTCATAGCCAAACAGTTAAGTTTGGGCTCCTTTTCTTTCTCTAAAATAAACAAAACAAAATAGAAAGTCCTAAACAGAATTTCATAGCATCAGAATACCTCAGTCTCCTACCACTGTTGTGAATGGAATAATGGTGACCTCTTATTCCTTTTCTGAGCATTCTTATTTAAAGATACAGACATTTTTAGCTTTTTTTTTTCAAACATTACATTACAAGAAAATCACCAATGTGACTAAAGTAATTCAGAAAAATGTGTAAGCTCTTATACTTAAATCTGTGTTTAAAAAGGCAAAAAAGACTCAGTGTTTCTTTATCTATGTACTTTATACTTTACTTTCAAACTCTGATCTACTGGAATAAAGAAAGGCTGACTGGAACTTCCCTTTGCAGTCTTAAACTTATATGAAGGATGAATAGTATTTTTATCCATCCTGGCTTTTTTTTGCGTCTATCTTTTCAGCTTATGTTGAGAGAGAATAGGTCAAAGACATTTTAAGATGACTATGTAGAGCTACATTATAAAGATTAGATAGGTTCTAAAATTGAGATTTAATGGATATAACTATAAATTACAATATATCAAGTAACTAGTTACTACATTAGATGAGTTCATTTTTCCAGTTTTTCAGGACACATATATTTCTGCCATTTTATAGATTACAGATTTTGAGTTACTTTAATATTTGGGATTGTATCATACTTCTCAAAGTTATTAAAATGTAGTTAAAATCTGCTCTCACAATGTTAAAACTCAAAAAAATTTTGATATAAACTATTCTCCTCGTGTTAAATGCCATGATTGAATTTGCTGTGAAATTAGAGAAATTTAATTTTCTCAGTTTGGGATAGGCTACTTAATAAACAATTAATGATGGAACTAAGTTGTTAAATTTTCTAAAAATTGAAATGAATATAAATGCACAATTAACATAAATTTGAGTAACCAAAGTCATTTTTCAGTCAGATTCTCCATTTTTTTCTTTTTTTTTCTTAATAGGATTAATAGAAGAATTTTAAACTTATAATCAACTCCTAAAGTTCACATAAATGTGACTAATATAAAGTACATATTGAGAAATTAGTTGTGTTACCATGCCTCATAATTAAAAAGCAATTAGAAATTAAGTTTGTTTATATGAACTTCTAAAATATAGAGGAAAAATAAGTAGCAACTGGATGCTTCAATAGCCCTATAGATAGTACACATCAGAGACTGATTTAAAATAAATACATACCGGAAAAATATTCTGAATGCTTCAGATCTACTTTAAAGTATTTTGGTATTTTTCTCTATATTTTAGAACAAAATTTATGAATAGAAATGTGGCATATAAATTGGAACTGTTATGATGTGTGTTTCATATTTCTGAATTTGGAGAAATGTTCTAATTTTAATCTGTATGTATCTTATGTATTATTCATTTTTATTTTTCGTTTATTACTAGAGATAGAAGTATTTCTGCATACAACTCAATTGACTGGAAAAAGGTTATATAAGAACATGAAAAGTCTAATCCCAGTATGGGCTCGGCTGGCAAGGAGGGAAGACAGAGACAGGGACAGGGCAGAGGCTCCTCAGGAGGCCTCCCCTCTTCAGACCTCTTTTTCGGGGTCACCAGGGTCCCGACCCGCAGGTGCAGGTCCTCCCGGGAGTAAGGGTGGCACCAGGGTATTGTATGCTGGCATCAGGAGAGCGGGTCTGAACAACTCACTCCATGCCTCATCTCCCGCCACAGTGACTTCCGGCAGGCACTGAGTCTGTACTAGGAAAATCTTATACCCGCGAGTGCCCTTTGGACGCCACCTGGGGAATGCGCTCCCTTTTCCCAAACGTCCCTCGGCTCCCGCGTCGAACGCCGCACCAGCGGTCCTGGGAACCCAACGCCGCCACATCTGGCACCTCAACTCACATCTGCCGCCTCAACTGTCGCGTGGCGTCCCGGCCAGGGATCCCACAAGGTGGCTCCCCAAGATTCCGCCGAGGGTCCTCTCCGCAGGCGCGGGTGGCTTGGAGCGCGTGGGCTCCGAACCGCTGAGGCTCCGCCAGGCAGTTGCGGAAGCGACTGACTGCCAGGACCTCCTGCCTTGCGCAGCTGGGCGTGGAGCAGGCGACGGCGAGTGCCGCGGTGTGGGCGAGCGGGCTGAGTGGCCCCGCAGCCTCCCGACCCGGCCATGCTGCGCTGGCTGCAGGGCTTCGTGCTGGAGGCGGTGGCCTGCCAGGATGACGATGACTACTTACGCTACGGGATCCTCTTCGAAGACCTGGACCACAACGGGGGCGGCGTGGCGGACATCGTGGAGCTCCAGGTGGGGCTGAGAAACTGGAGCTCCGCGTTTTACCCGAACTCCGATGAGGTGAGGGACCGGAAGTTGGCACCGGCAGTCTGGAGAGACGTTGGGCAGCGGGTGAAGCCAACCCTGCCCTTCCCAGAGATGCTTTCAAAGGCCTTTGGAGTAAGGGTGGGGTTCTCCTCTGTGAGCCTCGTCACGCGAAATAATGAGACCCAGCGAAACATGTTCTTAACCTGCTTCTTAAAATAGCCACTTTCCCGCCGGGCGCGGTGGCTCAGGGCTGTAATCCCAGCACTTTGGGAGGCAGAGGCCGGTGGATCACCTGAGGTCAGGAGTTTGAAATCAGCCTGGTCAATATGGTGAATGCCTGTGTCTACTAAAAAAAATACAAAAATTAGCCTGCGATGGTGGCGCGTGCCTGTAATCCCAGCTACTTTGGAGGCTGAGGCAGGAGAATCACTTGAACCTGGAAGGCGGAGTTTGTGGCCAAGATCGCGCCGTGGCACTGCCGCCCCGGCAACAGAGCGAAACTCAGTCTCAAAGGGAAACAAACAAACAAACAAACAAAAAACACTTTCCTTAGTGACAAAGGCCTCCAGGACTTTTGGGAAGGTGGCTTGTTCAACATTTAGCAACCAGCACACAACGTCAGGGGCCATGTTAGCCTTTGTGCAGAAGCAAAGGACCATCTCTTTTCTTAGGGAGTTCTCTGCCCAAAGCAGTGTGCTTTCAGGGGCGTCTCCAAATGGCAGGCACAGGCGGAGCCCCAGAGCTATTCTCTTTCTGACATCCACACCAAGGTCTAGGGGAAGTCAGACTTTGATCCATGGGTTTATACTTAACTGATTGTTTTAGAACCTCACCTAAATTAGAAATGCCTTCCTCCTTTAAGCCAGTCTTGACCTGATTATTTTTAAACTATTTAGACGGAAGTTTCAGTATGTCAACAGAAAAAAAATTATTTCTTCTCCATCAATGCTTAGCAGGAGCCTTCAGATATTACTCCTATTGAATTTTAGGAGTAATATCTGAAGACTGTAAAGCTATACATGTATTACTCCTAAAATTCAATAGGAGTAATATCTGAAGGCTGTAAAGGTCTTTATCGGTGAGATTTTTGTTGTTGTTGGTTGTTATTAGAAGTCCAAAACATCTGGACTCCTCTATAGTCTTCTGGTCAGATACAGGAAGCCAGTTTTGCATGTAAGACAGGTATTTACTTCAAAGGTAGGGGGGTCAAAACATCTCCCCTCCCCTTTGAAACAGTCACCTTATTTGAATCAGGTTAATTAGCTACCTCTCTCTCTCTCTCTCTCTCTGTTTTTTCCCTCTTTTTCAGAGATAGGGTCTCACCCTATTGCCCAGGTGATTATAACTCACTGTAGTCTAGGGCTCCTGGGCTCAAGCAATCCTCCTTCCTCAGCCTACTAAGCCTCTGGAATTACAGGTGCACACCATTGCACCCGGCTAATTTTTTAGAGATGAGGTCTTGCTATGTTGCCCTGGATGAGGATCATGTCCTTTGCAGCAACACGGATATTCCTAAATGAACTAATGCAGGAACAGAAAACTAAATATCACATTTTCTTACTTATAAGAGGAAGCTAAACATTGAGTACACATCAACTGAAAGAAGTGAACCATAGACACCAGGGCCTACTTGAAAGTGAGGCATGGGAGAAGGGTAAGGATCAAAAACCTACCTATCAGGTATTATGCTTATTACTTGGATGATGAAATAATCTGTACACTAAACTCCTATCACAAGCAACTTACCTATATAACAAACCTGCACGTGTGCCTCCTGAACCTAAAATAAAAGTTACGAAGAAAAGAATGCCATTAACAGTAGAAGGGGGTGAGACTGGTACTGGGGAGAGAAAAACAAGAGATGTCTGCCATGGTCACCAATCCTATGCTATCCTTCCTCCTAGGCTGGATTTCATATCTTGATTTGAGCACATCTGTAGGAGAAGGGAAACTAAAAGCACTGTTAGTGAATGTTCATAGGAGCAACAGCCCAGACCAGGGTGGGTAGTTTCCTCTGGCTGCCAGAGGATGGGGGATGCAGGGCAACAGGAAATGGCTGGGCAGAGGCCTTGGGCATTCATCACTGGGTGCTCAAGGCCACCTGGGGCCACTGGAAGGTACAGCTAAAGCCTGAGGCTGAGAAGTCTCTCATTAAATACCACCAGCCTGTCACCAAAGACCCTGGAGAAAATCTGCAAGGTGACCAGGCTTGCCATTTGGGGCCTGTGGCCCATGCATCAGGAATAGGCAAGAAGCTAACTGTCCTTCCTCTCATCCAGGGTCACTGAGGGGAAACAAGCATAGTCTAAAACATGAAGCTCACAGCACAGGTTAGGAGGTGGGATTAAGAGTGAGGTGGGTCAGGCCGGGCGCGGTGGCTCAAGCCTGTAATCCCAGCACTTTGGGAGGCCGAGGCGGGTGGATCACAATGTCAAGAGATCGAGACCATCCTGGTCAACATGGTGAAACCCCGTCTCTATAAAACTACAAAAAATTAGCTGGGCATGGTGGCGCGTGCCTGTAATCCCAGCTACTCAGGAGGC